GACGTGGGAAAAGTAAGGAGATTGAGGCAAAATAATAAAATAGTAAACCCTTGACCTTCGCTGGTAACGGAGAAGAAATGATTTATAATTTCATGCTTCAAATAAGCACTTCATCACAAAAAAAAACGTTAGAAGAATTTGATGGCGGAACGCAACAACATAACAGCCGGCCATATACAGATATCGCAACACATCGCAATTTCTTAACGATTAGACGTAGAAAACGACACTGGCGGCACTTTGAAAGCTGGAAGAACTCCACAGAACTTTAAAATAACCTATGAATATAACCTAGAAACAAAAAAGAATCATGCTTCCATACAACGAAAGTACTCAAAAATGTCCTAAAACTCGTTTTCAAAGTACCGCCATGACAAGTTTTCGGCTGCTGATAAAATATAAGGAAACAACAGATACCCCGAATAGAATTCACGCCCGACTCTACAGAAGAAGGCCCACGTTCATGATCGTACAATATTTCAGGTGCCTCGGATTTGTTCGAACTTCATCAGAACGGGCAACTACGATCCACACTGAACAATTGTACCTGATAGCGGAACATCTACGATATTATAAGTGGGAAAGATCTATTTGACACTAATAAATTAGTAATTGAAATATCTATGTATCACAATTAGACACGAGTAGACCTCGACATAAATAACATATGACGCTGCAAAAAGCGCACAACTCAAAGCGGCCATTACCAAAACACCGTACCCTCTGCTTGAGAAATATTGTGCACAAATGCAGCTCATGTTGTCTAAAGACCCATATCCTTCGGCCCGATTTCAGAGCGTTTACTCCTCGTCGGAATCCGATCCTTCCGTGTATTCTTCATCACTCGATGCGATCACCTTCTCGTCTTCATCTTCGGTATCTTCATATTTAGGCAACACTATCTCCTTCGCTTCTTTCACTTCGAGCTGAAATAAGCAGTAAATTTACAGCTACAACAAATAAAAAAGGATGCCTTCAGAAAATGAACCCAAATGGGCCAAACCCAAACCTTAATATCCTTATTGTAGTCGCAATCCATATATGAGTCAGACCGAACGGCTAATTGGTAATTGTAAATACCTTTCACTGGTGGCGCCGAAAACCGCATTTCCACCTTAAATTTAGATCATATGTCAACAGCCCGACAGCTTTCAGAAAACGAAAAAACTGAGATAACCTACCGTTTGCTCGTCAACTAAAGTCTTGCAAGCCACAGTGGGGCACACAAGTCGACGCTGCTTCTTGTCCCACATTGTCAACACCAACCACCTTGAAAATATTTCCAATCGAAATTATTCCTATCATTATTGTGCGATTGACCCAGTGAATAAATAAAAGGACATGTGTTGTATAAAAGAAGCTTTTTATCTGCAATAAGGTCTAATGAGTGGAGCGTAAAGTACTAATTTTGCAGAAGAAGAAGCCATGGGAGAAAAATCGTCCACAAAAGAAGAAAGGTGGTGCAAAAAAGAAACCTCAGAAACAGCAAGTGAAAAAAGTGAGTTCAGTGAAGTGTACCACCGACTTACAAGTTTCCAGGCATTTTTTCATAGGTGGTTGCGGCAGCACCGGTGGCTCCTGTTGTAGTTGAAGAA